TTCACAAAAGACTCTGTGGTGATAGCAAACTTGAAAGGTGTTCATTAACTTTTCCTTGAGTCATAAACGGGTCAGCTATGCCATTTCTACACACACGCGCACTTCCCACTGTCAAATGAAAGCGAGTGGTTGGCCGAAGCAACACTCCGATCCCCTGAAAACACTTCTCAAAAGTAATTAGCTAATGGGCGTCGCTCCCTGCACTCCCTCCCAGAGGGGGACAGGCGGAGAGAACACTGGCCCAGATGCCCACTAACGGAAACGCAGAGATTTGGGGGTGCATGCAACTGCCCCACTCAGAGAACTCTCTCCTGTTCAGGGGGCTCCTATTCTCTCAGGACAAGAAAAAGTTAAAAACGAACCTGCATAGAAAAGACAGAGCTCAAGATAAAGGTCTAATACAAACACTAAATATGCAAATGTTGACAGGAGCTCCAGGTCCTGCTACTTTTCTTTCCTTTGTATGCCCAGCTGCAATTCCTAAGCGTTCTGGCATGAATATTCCTGGGGAGTTCACTTTAGAGTCGTAAAAGAAAAGTAATTAAGCCACAATCTAGGTCCGTCTCTTTGGATTTCGTCTTTCACTGTAGAAACACACACACTCAGAACTGTAGCAGGTCCTCCACCACCACCCTTCCCGGCGTCGCAGGGGCAGCAAGAACGTAAAGGCTCGAGCCCCGGGAACACCGCGACCCAACGGGAAAGCTCGCTGCCGCCAAGATGAGGGGAAGGCAGGAGACACTACTTTCTCTTCCGTCTCCGGTGTGTACGGAAGAGGGAGACTCTGAACCAGTCTCTCCTCCAAGCACAGGCAGAAGCCCCCCATCCCCTCCACAAGTCCACAGACCTCTGCTTCCAGAACACCGTGCAGCGAATCTGCCCACGGCCCTCGCCCCCAGCCACCCGATGACCCATGCCGCTTAGAGTCTGCGAACCCCACTCGGGGTGGCGAACACACTCCGCCATGTAACACCTACGGTGTGTAAGGTTACTAACCGATGCCATCCCGATAAAGCCCACTACAAATAAGTAAGTAAATAAATAAATAAATAAATACATGAGAACCTGCAAACCTCCCTCCAGGAACACAATTCCAGGGAACCCTTTTTCCTAAGAGTCGATTTCTAAAAAAAAAAAAAAAAAAAAGGTTATTCCTCCTCTCCCTTGCGTTTCACAAACACAGGACCCCACCCAGCCAATGCAGAATCATTCATTCCATCAATTAATAATCATTGCTGGCTCCGGTATACAGAGCTTGAGGGGTGGGGGGGAAATTATGTTAACAGAAAGGGTTCCTTTTCATGGAGCCTGGGAAAAACAAACAGGGGTTGGGGAGTGAGAGTTTGTCAGCACGCCCCGGGCCTGGCCTGCGGTGGGGTGGGGGTGGGGGTGGGGAGGCAGTGGCCAGAGGACAGCAACGTCTGTCATTCTGCAGTTTCATTTCTCGCGGCCAGTTCATACCCCGAGTTTACGCATCAGTTTCTTCCAAGCTGACTTGCAAGTCTGTCTCCCGGGACCCAGGCAATCCTGAACGCCCTACCAAAAGCTAAATTTTCGGTCTACGAAACGGAGAACGAGACCCCGAAGCCTAGCGGTCCTAGCGATGGAAAGCCACCCTTCGGGATGACATCTGTCCCTGCTCTTCGACGACAAGGCCCGTCGCTGTAAGTACTGGATGTTTCTAATGCTCCCCTGATCGCTCCCCGTGGTTTACAGACTCAAATCCAAGCTCCTTGACCTTCTTCTCACAGCTGCGACTCAGCGTTCCGGCCGCATCACCAGACCAAGCAAGCCTTTCGTGACTCCGAGTGTTCACACATGGTTCTCTCCACCTAGAATATCCTTCGCCCAGTGTTGCCCATAAAATTCCTACTCTTCCTGCAAAGCCCAGTTCAAAAGTCACCTCCTCCCTGAAGCCTTCCCTACTTCCCCAGGCCTTTAGTGCTTACTTCTGCCAACAGGTCTCTGACGAAAGGTACCGCAGAGCCCTCGTAAGTCCACTGCAGCCATAGGTCCTAGCACACTATCAAGAATGAAATGGGAGATCAATGCTGAATGATTGATCACCTGGAACATGGCATTAAGTTATTTAGAGGGAAAAGGAGAGAACACAAGCCTCGAAAAACTCAAAAATGTAATTATCCACATATTTAACCTTCTCCAAAATGACCGCGGTATGCTGAGAGGCAGCACGGGTGTTTGACATTTTTAAATAACCACAGTAGCTAATATTTGAAGTAAGTGTTACAATGTTTATGTGGCTTAGTTAATGTGATCTGCATGACAACCTTATGAGGTAGGTCCTTCTTGTCTTTAGGTAATCCGGGAAACTGAGGCACAAGAGAGGTTTAAAAAAAAAACAAAACCCTCAAGATCATGCAGTTAGCAAGCTGAGGGAGCCAGACGCAAACTCCAGGAGCCTAGCCCTGCAGCGCAGGGCCGGGCTCTGGAAATCAGGCAGACCAGGGTTTGAAGGCAGATTGTGTTACAAAGGTGGCTTCAGAGAAGTCAGCTATCCCCTCTGGGGTTGTTTTCTGTCTGCCCCAGGTCTGTATCTCTCCAGGGTTAGGACAGCCCTTTTCCTCTCAGGGTGCAGAGAGGTTTAGACCACAGGTGGCCAGCACAGGGCCCGCGGGGCTGAATCCGGCCCTGCACCTTGTTTCTACCCGGCGGCAGCAGCGAGCGCTCGCTTAACCGTGAAGGAGCAGTTACACGTACGCAGTCCTACAGCGACATGCGGCCCTCTGAAGGCCACCGCGAGGCTGATGTGGCCCCCAGTGAAAATGAGTTTGACGCCCCTGGATTAGACTAAACATAACGTAGGCCCAAGTTTCTAACACAGATCACCCTGCCTACCATACGCTCCATAAATACTTTCCCTTCCCTCCCAAAAACCGGGGCAGAAGAGACTCACTCACGGAGGACAAGGATCTCCCCCCAGCCTGCTGGAGGCTTTCCCAAGCCCAGCTAGTCATTAGGCCACTCAGAGCCCAGAGCCTGGCCTTACCTGCTTATCTCTGAGTACATTCCCCCGTGCAGAGGCCAGCGACCTTTTAAAATGTAAATGTCACCGTGTCACGGACTTAAAACCCTTCCAAGGCTCTTCATAGCACGGGATACAATGCAAACACAGGCCTGTCCCTAAGGCCCCCAGGGATCTGACCCACCTCTCCACAGACTCCCCTCCCCTCTCGCTCCCCCCTGCGGCCACACAGGCCTCTTTCACTTCCTCCAACTCGCCAGCTCCCGGCCGCGCCACACACAGTTAACTCTTCGCCCTCCTCCGGGTCTCAGCCCAAACATCACTTCCTTCCCGGATCCCCTCACCCAGGTCACGGCCCGTTCCCGGTTCCCACCGCTCTCTTCCTCTTTCTTTCTTTGCACAATTCGAAATGGCTCGTTTGCCCCTTCCTTCCAAGTTTCATCCAGAAGATACCTTCTTCCGAGGCCCTCCCACGGCACGCGAATGTAAACTCAACCCCCACCAGAAATCTCATATCCTCCTTCCCTATTTTTCTCCTTAGCACTTGGCACTTTTTTTTTTTGATGAGAGTCTATCTTTTATTACCTATTTTATTGTATTGTTTTTCCCCCTAGGAAAATGAAAGTGCCAGAAGGGTAGTTATCTCTGCTTGCTTTCTTTACAGCATCTAACACACTGTCTGGCACATCCTTACTAGTCCATAGTGTCATTGGATGTCATTTCCAGGGTAGTTGTTTATTGCGGAGCCTAGCCCCTGAGCTATGAGCTGGTTTACCACGGTATTCCCAACTCCTAGGCCAGTGCCTGGCACGTAGTAAGTGCTCAGTAAAAAATTTACTGAATGAATCAAAGCTACGACCAACTGCCGGGGGGAAAATTGGAAAATGGTGGAGATGTGTTCACGCACCATACTTCCTCTTCTCGTTGGCTAAGGGACCCGTGAGTTGGAGGAAACAGACCCCTGAGGTCCCGCCAAGCACGCCCAGGGCAGACATCTGTCTGTCCACATCCTGTAGGCTCAGCCACACCACACGCTCCAGCAGATGCTCAGCACGGCCCCCGAGTGAGCGCGAAGTGAGGGCGAGGCGGCGACCCCAGGCCAGGCACCGCCGTCCTGCCCCGAGTCCAGTTCGCTCGCTGCGGGTCCTGTTCTAGGTAAGGCCGGGGTGCCACACGGGCTCCCCTGGATGGGCCTGTGGGTTTATTCCAGTCCAGGACTTTTAATGCCACCTCTGGCCTACTCAGGAAGAGGTGAAAGATTCCTGGGCAGCTCCCACCGGCCACGGGTTCTCAGAAGCAGGCATACCGAAGGTCGGACGGACCCCTCCCCCTCACGCGCGCTGATCCTCGGCCAGGAGGCCATCTGCCCAGCAGACGCTGCTCTGTCCTCCCGCGGGTCACATTGAGCCTCACCCCCAGGCTGGCAGGAAGAGCCTCCGCAGAGAGACAATTTCCAACAGGCCCGGCCACCCCGGGAGGACCCCGGGCTCCGGGGCGCGAGTACCTGTCCGCTCGCGAGGCGCCCTCCCCCGGGTCAGAACTTGGGCGGAGGTGGGGGAGGGACGGCGGGGCGCCCGCGGGGGTCGCTGCGCCGAGCGCCTGCCCCCTGACGGCGCCAGCTCCCCGCGCGGCGGCGGCGGGCTGACAGGGCGTCCCGGCGGGGAAAGTGCCCCCGTTATCGGTGCCCGGGCGGGGGGCCGCGGGCTGCCGCCGGGGCGGCCTGTGTCCCGCGCGCGCGGCGGGCTGCGGCGCGCGCGGCGGGGCGGCGGCGGCGGCGGCGGCGGCGGCGGCGGCGGGGCGCGGGGGGCGGGGTGGGAGGCGGACGGGCCCGCCAGGCGGCGGTCGGGGCCGCGGCTGCGCCCGGGGCGGCGGGCAGGGTCCGCGGGGCTGCAGGGCCGGGCCGCGGCGCGGGCGCGCGCTCGCCCCGGCCCCGCGCAGCCCCGGCCCGCGCTCCGGCGGCCTCGGCGGCGGCCCCGGCCCCGACCCCGCCCGGCCCGGCCCGCGGGGGGGCGCTTACCTAGCGGCGGCGGCGGCGGCGGCAGGCCCCGGGCTCGGCCGCGCGCGTCCCCGGCGCCGGCTGCGGGAGCCACAACATGGCGACGGCGGTGGCGGGCGGGGCTGCGGCTCCGGGGGCGGAGCGGGGGCGGGAGCCGGGCTGGCGGCGGGACCCGGCTGGGGCCGCGGGCGGGGCGGCGGGCGGAAGGCGACTCGGACCTGGGCACCGGCCCAGGGCGGTGCGGCCGAGGGGCTGCCCCGGCCCGGCCCGGCCTCCGCCCCCCCGCCCGAGTCGGGCTGCTCGGCGCGGGCCCCGCGGCGGCGAGCGGGGCCGGGCCCCGCGCCCCGGGCCCCCCAGTCCAGGGCCCCGCCCCGCCGGACCCGTGAGCACCCCTGCACGGCCCGGCGCGCCGCGACCCGGGCGGTCGGTCGGCTGACGCGCCTGCGGGGCAGGCCGCGGGGGGCGCGGGGTGCGGCCGAGGTCGCCCGCTAGGGGGCCGGGAGCTGCCTGCGCGGCCGTCGCGCCCCAGCGCGCCCCTGGAGCGCGGCCGTGGCGGGCCGGAGGCCGGCGGCCGTGACAGGAAGCAGGGACCCCGCCAGGCGGCTGCCGCTGCAACCGGGAGCTGCGCTGCCCGAGGCAGACCGGCCCCGATCGGCCTGGCGGCGGGGGGCCTCCCGGGCGCGCACCTGGAAGTCTGGGTTCTGGGGAGCGATGACTGCGCGAAGTGACCGACCGCCCCAAGGCCAGCGGGGTGACGGGCAGGGCGTTCCAAGAAGCAGGCGCACCCGGGAACGCGCGGCACGGAGGCGGCAGCCAGGCCGGGGTGCGGGAGCGCGGGGCGAGGCCCTGGAGTGAAGCAATGAGCCTCCACCGCTCAGCAGGGAAGAGAAGCCCGTTTGCAGGAGGCTGCGGCCGACTTTCCGCCCCTGGGCTGAGCTGAGCGCTTGGGTAAGGAGTACGCGCAGCTGAAGCCTTGAAGGCAGTCACTGTGGTGGTCCTTTCCAGAAGTTTGGGAGCAGGGGGAGCAGGCTTGTAGCTCTAGGGGTAGTGACAGTAAAAGAGACATGTGCTTTGTTTCAATTTGATGAGGAGCTCTCAGGGAGCTGAGAGGGGAGAAGAAGAGATCAGAGCTAGGATAATTAATGGTGCCAGATATAGGGGTGGGAAAAGGCACACGTCCTCCGAGGACACTTAAAGGATGCCTGAAGATAGACATGTCTTGAGGTGTGTGTGTGGGGGGCGGTCTGCATACGGAGCCCTGCAGGTTTCGCGGGTTGCCTGGGGGGGGGGTGACACCCCCGCCTCCAGTCACCCGTAGAAATGCTGGGGTTGCCCTTTAAAACAAGTGCGATTGGTTCAAACCCCTGTTCCACCAAAATATCTCCAAAGATTCCTGGGGGAAACTTACACTTTTCCTAATGATCACTGACCCCAACTTTCTGTTTCCCAAAACACACCCCATTGTGCTCTTTTAGGAAATCTGTGCCCGTACTCTTGCTACCACCCAGTGTCTACTCCCCCCAAATGTGGCATCATATGTGGAAACAAGCAACATACCCAATGTTGCGATTGTTACATAAATTACACTTTATCTGTAGCCATTAAAAATCATGTTGAAGAAACAGATTAAGGTGATATAATGCCAGTTTGTAATATACAAATATACATCTGCATATCCTAAAAGAAGGGGATTTTTTTCTTCTTCTGTGACTTCTGTATTTTCTTACTTTTACAGTACGTTAATGTTTTTCTTAAAGTCAGGAAAAATGGTGTTTTTAAATATTAAAGTATCTTTTAAAAAGGCATTCGTTTTTAAATTATTATTTATTGACTTGAGAGAGAGAAAAGAAAAGTGAGAGAGAGAGAGATTGACATTGATTTGTTATTGCCACTTATTGATGCAAATTCCCAGGTTGGCTCCTGCCTGTGCCCTGACCCGGAATCAAACCCGCAACCTTGCTGCGTCAGAACAATGCTTTTACCAACTTTGCAGTCCGGCCAGGGCAGGAAAGTATTTCTTTAAAAGATACTTTTGGAGTTTAAAAGAAAGATATTAGGAATCCAGCAAGGAAATGGAACTCGGACCTTTGAAGGATGGATGGGACCACGGCAAGCCGAGACAGGCCAGGCGAGGGAGGGGGCTGCCCGAGGCCTGAGGAACAGTGCAGTCGAGGACAGAATGAGAAGTGCATGGAGTGCCCTGGGAACACTAAGGAGTCCGTTCGGATGGAGCACAGGGAGAAGAGTCAGTAAGCAAGTCAGTCTGGGAAGGTAAGTCAGGGCTGTGGTCCTGGAATGCCAGCCTGAACCCTTTGTAATTTGCCAGCTGGGAAGAACCACTGGACCTTGGGCTGTGTAGGTAAATTTTAAAGTAAATTCTCCTGTCACTTTTTACTTCACGAGGGTCTAGATCTCAGCCCTTCCATCTCCCTGGGATTGGGACATTTGATTCCCGCAGAGCAATGAGGTGGGAGCACTAGTTTTTGCACGGCCGTTCTGGTTGTTAATTATAAGTTTTAGTCACCAGGAAGCAGTTTCAGAGCAAATTAGCAAAGAGCAGAAATGAAAGGAAGAAGAAATGTGCACCTTAAGCCAGTGCTTTGCAAACTTTTTTTTTTTTTACCACTTTCTATGAGCTTGGCTTCTTTAAGGTTCCTTATACATCTGCAACCATACGGTATTTGTCGTCTTTGCCTGACTTCCTTCGTATGCCAGAACGCCCTCGGGATCCCTCCGCGGTGTTGACAAGGGCTGGATTTCCTTTTCTTAGCCAAACAATACTCTCTGCAAGCTTTTTTTTTTTTTTACTGTGGCCCTCCGTAAGAAGTCCATCTCATCTCTCAGCCCAGAGTGTAGTCACGCACGTGCACACACACACACATACATGTCTGAGACAGGAGTTTCCCGAAATATTACCCTTACTTCATGCAATGCAGGCCAATGGGTTGCTTTCCTACTTCAAGTTCATTTTTATTTTAAGGAGGATTTTGGGCACGTTTTTACTGCTGTGTTAAGGTATATAGTTGACATACAATACACCACATGTACTGAAAATGCACTTTTTTTTAAAGACTTTATTTATTTATTTATTTTTAGAGAGGGAAGGGAGGGAGAGAGAGAGAGAGAGAGAGAGAGAGAAACATCAATGTGCAGTTGCTGGGGGTTATGGCCTGCAACCCAGGCATGTACCCTTGCTGGGAATCGAACCTGCGACACTTTGGTTCGCAGCCGCGCTCAGTCCACTGAGCTATGCCAGCCAGGGCTTCACATTTTTGTTTTGACAGGTACACAGCCGTCACATGCTGATCGTTCCAACTTTACTATGACCCTCTAGAAGGTAACAAAATGCCTTCAAGCACGTGGAGGAGAGCCCGGGCTGCTCGCTGCTCTGTTTGCCATTTCTCATTTAAATAGCCGCACAGGCTGTGTGGCTGTGTGTGCTCGAGTCTGCCCCATGGCCCCGTTCCCGAAACACGGACGGATTGGCGGGAGCCTCTTCCCTTCCCAGTGACACTTCCGGACGTCCCTGTTTCTCGGGGGCCATAACATCTCTTCTTTGTCTAGCTTCCAGCGTGAGTCACGGGTCGGACTTTGGACAAGTCAAGACTGCCACCTGCAAACAAGAGACCAGGTGTTGTTTGAGCAGACGGAATCACGGACCAAAGTCGAAGGGAGAATAGTGTGTCTTGATTGTGACAGTGGGCGCAGGCTGTCCCATCCGCCGCTGTCGGAGTGTGACAGGGACAGTGAGTGCTATCTGTTTCTCACAAGTTTGGGGCCAGTGAAAGGGCGAGGATATCGACGTTATTACGCATAAGGATCCACTGAAGAATGTGACTGGGATGACAACCAAGAGTCTTTTTAATATTCCCTGAGTTAAAGTGAGCTCCCCCCCAAAACTGCAGCCTCCCCCTTGCAGAGGCCTAGCAACTTCCACGAGGTCTCCGTCGAAATCGAAGACGGCACTCGCCCTGAGGGCGGGCAGATCTGAACTCACCAGAGAGGCAAGTCTTCTCCTTCTGGAAGACCCAGGACAAATTCCCCTCCGCCTGCCCTCCTAAGACAGCAAAAGGATCAGGAAATAAGGATTTATCTGGGCCCAAGCAAATAGGATCTGGCCCAAAAATAGGTCAGTTAATTTTAAAAGTTTACTAAAGCAGTGCATTTTTTTAAAGATTTTATTTACTTATTTTTAGAGAGAGGGGAAGGGAAGCAGAAAGAAGGAGAGAAACATCAGTGTGTGGTTGCCTCTCGTGTGCCCCCTACTGGGGACCTGGCCTGCCACCCAGGCACGTGCCCTGACTGGGGATCGATCCAGCGACCTCTTTGGTTCACAGGCCTGCGCTCAGTCCACTGAGCCTCACCAGCCAGGGCTTAAAGCAGTGAATTATATTTTTAAAAAGTGATACATATATATACATCTTAACATTTTATTTTCATTTAAAACCTACTAGAGAAATCCACTTGCCAATTTTTCTACGTCAGGCAAAAACTTTTCAGTGAGCAAGAGTGCTGGTTAGAATTCTTGAGCTCTTTTTTTTACTTAAGAAAACTTACTTACACACCCATGATGTATTTTCTGTGGTTTCCAAGTCATTTCTTTAAAGTTGACTGAGGACTTAAAGCTTCTTGCAAAGCAATATAAGAGGATCCTTCTTTCAAAAAAATAATAAAAATCTTTCTACTCATCTCACCTGCCTCTGGTTTGATAGTAATTTTCAACTTGTCTTTTTTTTTTAAGATTTTATTTATTTATTTTTAGAGAGGGGAAGGGAGGGAGAAAGAGAGAGAGAAACATCAATGTGCGGTTGCTGGGGGTCGTGGCCTGCAACCCAGGCATGTGCCCTGACTGGGAATCGAACCTGCAACACTTTGGTTCACAGCCCGCGCTCAATCCACTGTGCTACGCCAGCCAGGGCTCAACTTGTCTTTAGTTAATATTTCCAAAGCATTCCACTGACATTTCACAGAAATAACTGTTTATTTTCAATTAAATCAATTCTGTGCTGGCATGCAGTTGTCATAAGCAAGCTTGGGGCCAAACATGACAGATTCTTGTTAGGCCTCTAGCCACCCGGGCAGGAGGCGGCGTGCAGGCGTCCAGAGATGAACCCCTGCCCCAGAGCATCCCCCAGGCCGTGCACAGTGGTCAGTGTGCTTATTGGCAGGAGTGGGAAGTGCTGATTCCAGAGAGTCCATTAAAAGGAAAACCGTTAATGCCCATAAACTAGTGTGACCAACGGCGTGCGTACGTTTTAATGTTCTTCCAAGAGCGATCCATTTTATAAATGTTTATTGGTATGCAGGACAGGGCCCGACACAGCGCTGGGCCCTGGAGATGCAGAGCTCCTTGAAGAGGAAGAGAAGGATAGTAAACAGGATGAAGAGACTGGGTGGCCAAGGAGGAAGATTGAGGAGCAACTCCGCCCCTCCACCCCCACAAAATCATTGCCTCTTCATTCCCATTTAGCTAACAATGGCTTTAAATAGCTTAGGATGGGTTTGGCTATCCAGAAAGTTCAAGTGGTAATACCACCTACTACCTTAGCAGGATGTATATACCTTAAGTACTTCCCCATGCTAATGAGATGATGGCTGTTAGCAGTGCAGAGAAAGCTGTAGCCCGTGAATGGATAGAATCCTTTAAAAAAGCATACTTCTCAACAGCCTCAGTAGAGATGTGATTCCCTTTTGACTCATCAGTATCTAGAAACTTTCCCTTGAGAAATAATCTTCCCCAAAAGAGAATGGCCACGTGCACAGTATTTACAGAGTGCCTTCTCTGTGATCATGAAAGTTTGAAACATATGAATGGTGAAGTAACTTAGGAATATGCAACATTGTACAACCGGTAACAACGAGAACTTAGGCAACTGGTAACTTGGAAAACATTTACTTCTATATAAAATGAGAAAAAAAAGATACAGTTGGCTCAACTTCACTGAGAACCACTGAATCTGACACTTAAAAAAAGGAAATTTTGTGGCTCCTGTCTCAATTTTTTTTAAAGATACAATCTGTCTTTTTTTTTTTTTTTTTTTTGCTCTTGTATCAGCCAAGATAACAGCATCAGAGCCCACAGGTGGCTGACTAAAAATGTGTATTGGACAGAATACAAAGTTGTGGGCGGGCGGGGGTGTGGGACACCCATAAGGGATAAGGAAGCACCCCGAGGCTAAGATCTGATGATGGAAAGCCACTATCAGTCATTGTAGGCCTGAAGGGGCAGCAAGACCAACCAGTGCTCCGTGTAGTTGAGTGGGAGGCAGGGCCAGCAGCAACTCAGAGGAACCCGGCCCCACCTCTCTCCCTCTGGCCCTCGGATCTCCCGGGGCTGAACCCAGGAGGAAGACTACGGCCAAGAGAGCTCAGATGATGCTGCTCCTGAAGGCCAGCCCTGGAAAGGGTGGAGAGCGGGTCTGGAGGAACAAAGGCAGAGATATCTAGCAGGTATGTGATCTTGCAACAAGGTGGAACCTGGCCAGGCACGTGACCAAGGACCTTCAGGCAACCTGGAAAACCAGGGTTTTCAGAGATGCAAAGGGGAGATAGCCGAAGAGCAGGCCGGGCAGGTAAAAGGTCAGGACAGATCGTTAACTCGGGCTGAGATAAGGAGGAGGCCTGGGGAGGGAACCTGTTGCCTTGATAAAATGCTAAGCTACAGTCTGACCTCTGGGAGAGATTACAGGAGGCTGCATGAGCTACTTTATTAGAGCAGCCCAGGAGAAATCCTTCCCCCTATTTCAATATCACCCTGTATTTCTCCTTCCCAGCTAAACGTCCGACCTCGAACAAATAATTGTTTAGTACCTGCCGAGAGCCCTGAGGATTGAGGGAACCACCTGAACATCCCTTTACTCCTGGAGTTTACCTGCTGGAGGTGAGCAAATATGTCAAGGGTGAGAAATGCTATGAAGAAGGGCAGGGGAGAACAGGGAAATGAAATTATGCCCGTGCGACTTAAAAATCTCTCGATTTAGGCCACACAGACCCCCACACACCGGACCTCTTGCGTCAGCGAGGCCTGCAGTATTTCAGGCCTGGACTGGGATCGTGGCGCCCTGGTCTTCCTGCCTCCAGCACCCTGGGCCTGGCCTTTTACTCAGCTGCGTGAACCTTCCTGAAATGGATCATGACAGCGCCCTGCCTAAAATTCTCCGGTGCTCTCTCTGACCCCTGTGGCTCAGTGGGTTGGGCGCCGGGCCACAAAGCAAAAGGTCACCAGTTCAATTCCCAGTCGGGGCACATGCCTGGGTTGCAGGCGAGGCCCCGGTTGGGGGCAAGAGACAACCAGTCGATGTTTCTCTTGCACATCGGTGTTTCCTTCTGTTTCTCCCTCCCTTCCCCCCTCTCTAAGAATAAATAAAATCTTTAAAAAAAAGAAAAGAAAGAGCAAGCCTCCTTTACTCTCAGCTCCATCCTGCCTCCAAGCAGGAATAACTTCCATGAACAGTCTGTCATCCCGTTTGGGGGGGGGATCCCGTTTCACATCTGTCTCCCACACGGGACCGATGGTTTCTCAAGGGTGAGAGCTGCGCTGTATCCATCACCTCTGTGTTCTCAGGCCCAGACATGGTGCCCGGGCTGGGCAGGAATATAGCACGTGCATCACTGAACGGAACACTGAAAGGTGGGCTAGAACAGAAGTCGTGAGATCACAGGGGACCGGAGGAATAGAGGAGAGACACGGGCGATGTCACCGGGAACGTGTCCCGGGGCCTGATTACGGAAAGCGTCGGCCGTGGACAAAAGCGTGAGATTTCCATCTGGGACGCAGTCAGCCGGGGCCGGCGGTCAGGAATTCCCAGGCAGAAGGAGGTCATTTGTCCCTGCCTTTGTGTGAGTTACAGAATTCAGACAAAACATTGACAACCGGGGCACCTAACAGCAATCAATGGACAGGATGTAGGGGGGAGGAAGTTGGTGAAAATGAAACCGAAGACAGAAAAATGAATGAATCAAGAACTTACTAACTTTTTTTTTTCGGGGGGGGGACACAGACTCCTGTGGAAAAACTCGGGCAAACGGTGCCTTCTTTCAGAACGGTAGACGTAGACCGAAGCCCGAGTGCTTTTTCAGAGCCGTTCGCCGGTGAGTCATTCTACGAGTGAGAATGAGAACGGGAACCACGGCGGCAACAGGTGTCCGTTCATTCGGGCACATTTCTTGCCCTCCGGCTGGGTGCCCGGCACCGTGCTGGGTGCCGAGAACAAAGCAACTCAGTCTGAAACAGAGGGTGCGGCACAAGGGCATGGTGGTCGGGAACCCAGGCTCCGAGACCAGTTTGTGGTTGTTAAGATTTTATGTATTTATTTATTTATGTTTAGAGAGAGAGGGAAGGAAGGAGAAAGAGAGGGCGAGAAACATCAACGTGTGGTTGCCTCTCACATGCCTGCCACCGGGGACCTGGCCTGCAACCCCGGCATGAGCCCTGACTGGGAATTGAACCCATGACCCTTTGGTTCGCAGGCTGGTGCTCAGTCCACTGAGCCACACCAGCCAGGGCTCAACTGTCTGATTTTAAAGCCCTGCCTGGTGAGCCTGGCTACCTTACTCGAAAGCACCTTGCACTCTGTAGGTGTTTTACAGAGACGGTACCGTCACCACAGTCATCTTTAAAGGAATCCTACGTCCCCAGAACGCACTTAGAATTCAGGGCATGCAGGGAGCTCTCTGCAGAGCCTCAAGGCAGAAACCTGAGTGGAAAGCAAGAGGAGGAAGCAGAGAACATGGGCTTGGTTTCAAGAACTTTGTCTGAAATGGAAGAAGAGGAAAAGGCAGTAACCAGAGAGGAAGTGAGAACAAGGAAGACTTTTTTTTTCCCCCTAAGCTGGAAGACATCGTGAGTGCTGGCAGGGAGGGTGCGGTAGAGCAGGAGAGGCTGAAGACTGCACTGAGGATCTGTCTCTCCCCTGCAGGTGCCCGGCGGCAGGAGGGGCGGGTTTTAGGGCAGAGGTGGGAGGGCCTGGCTTAGGCCAGGAAGCCACTTACGCAGGCGAGCTGGCGGGGAGGAGCCGAACCCATGGTGTAGCTGCAGGTGCTGGCTCTGAAGTAACCACAGGCAAGTGACAGAGAATGTCACTGGTGGGGGAGGGGGAGGGCAGAATGTCACCAGTTGGGGGAGGAGCGAGGCACGGTGGCTCCTGGGAGGCCTGAGGAGAGGAGAAAAGTTGTGACGTACATTTTAAAGAGGGGACAGTGACGAGAAGAAGGAGACAAGGTTGGCGGGGATTCTTCAGGGCCAGCGCGTTCACTCATAGGAGTCCCCGTGTGCCCGCCCGGACAGCTCCCGGCAGGGTGGGAGCTGCGGGAGCTGCAGGAGGAGAAGGGCCGTTAGGCGCGGCTGTTAGAAGTGCTGGGTGTCGTGGCGGTGAAGTCAGGAAGAGTGGTGACAGCATGGGGACCCCTGGATTTGCCGAGGAACTGGCCACTACTGAAGCAGTGTCTTGAGGGTCCCTGTAGTGTCAGAGCAGGTGACACGTGGCAGAGGAGGACAGACAGGAGGCAGGGGAGGCAGTAAACCACATGTCATGCAGGCGCACTGATGTGAAATGAAAGAGAAAAGACACGAACCAGAGGGAGTAACTGAGTCCAGTGAGGGGGGTCTTTCTCCCTAAAAGTCGGAAGAGCTAGATGTATGAGGAGGAACCAAAAAAAAAACCTGGGAATCTATTTATAAAAAATCGGGTATTCTCACACGTTTAAACTTCAGTCGCCTTCAAAGTACTCTCCGTTGGACGCCATACACAGATGGATATGCTTCCTCCACGGCCCAGAACAGGTTTTGAACTCGTCGGTGGTGATGCCTTTTAGTGCTTCTGCCGGTTTTTGTTTCGCCTCTTCCACATCGGCAAAGTGTTTCCCTTTGAGGGCTATTTTCATTGGGGGAAACACACACGCGAGAAAAGTCACTTGGGAAGAGATCAGGTGAATAGGAAGGGAGGGGTGTGGGGTGGGGCATGGCCATTTTTGGTCAAAAACTGATGAACACTCAGCGCAGTGTGGGCAGGTGTGCTCACAATCACCCGCCATGAAATGGGCAAACACGTTGAGAGAATCCTCAACAAAATGTCACCGAAGCCAAATGCAGCCTCTCACAACAACACCAGCTGGTGCATTGATACAGATGGGTTCCCAGAACACTCACCTGGCAGGGGAAGCCTGGGCGACAAGGGGCCCGCCCTCCAGAAGGTAATTCTGGTTTGTTTGGGGTCCGCCCTCACGGATACATTCTCTACCACAGACAAGCAGAGAAGCTGGGACAGCGAAGGAGAAGGAGGAATGCTTCTGTAGGTACTGAGAGAAGGAAGAAAAAGTTGGAAAAGATGTTTGTGCTAAAGATCTGGGTTTATTTAGAATTACTGTCCTTCCCAACTCACATACACGAGCATGTGAACTTTTAAAGTTGGCATAGTTGAGAAAGCATCACTTTACATAGAAGAAAACTCTGGCCCTGGCTGGTGTGGTTCAGTGGATTGAGTGCCAGCCCGTGAACTGAAGGGTCACTGGTTCGATCCCCAGTCAGGGCACATGCCTGGGTTGCAGGTCAGGTCCCCAGTAGGGGGCGCTCCAGAAGCAATCAGACATTGATGTTTCTCTCGCTCTCTCTTCCTTTCCCTCTCTAAAAACAAATAAAATCTTTACATAAAAGAAAGAAAGAAAGAAAGAAAGAAAGAAAGAAAGAAAAAGAAAGAAAGAAAACTCTAGCCAGAGAACTGAGCTGACCCTTCTGTAGTGAGACAATTAATTGGACATGGCCAAGAAAGTTCCAGCTGAAGATTCAGGACATTTGTGTGGCCAACTGATTCACCCAATCTTCTTCCCAGTCTCTTCATGGGAAAATCAGTCTTCCCTTAATTCAAGGGAATGGAGGAGAAGCCAATTGGCACATATTAACACGTTGTTTACTATAATTACCATCTGGAAACATTTTGTGGTATATTTCTCATCTATCAATATTTTCCTGTAGGTTACTTCAAAATATCTGAGGAAAGAACAAACTTCATCTCTTTTTGCCGAACTCCCGTATGCAGTGAACACTGTGGCGGGGGCGAGGGTGGGGGGGAACGACAAAACAAAACCTAGGCCAAAGGGAACTGGGTGGTGTTATGGTCGGTCACAGGCGGAAGCCCGAGAGGGAAGGCGAGAGCTGCGGTGAGTATCAGGCAAACAGGACCCAAGATCAGGACACAGGGGGCAGACCCTGTTGCCACACCGAAGTCCGCCCCCACAGAGATCACACCAAGGGCAGTGGAGAAAGTGCCAGGGTTCAAGGGCATCTAGTTGACGAGTTGCACCAGGGAAAGACTTAAAGCAGATCCGGGCAGAGAGGAGGTAGCCACCCGATCCAGCTGGCAAACTAACCTCTACGTGCCCACAAAACCAAGTTTAAATGAGCTTCTAGTGCTAAGGAATACAGAAAAGAAACAGGTGAGGTCACGTTGAATGTGTTTTATTTTTTCATTAACTCGATATATCAGAGTATTATCATTCCCACTTGTAATGGATATGACCAACGGTGGTTTCCCTTCCGTGTTCCGTAGGAAGTCCTCGAGATCTGGGGTGTGTTTTGCAGCGCGTATCCATCCGCACGAGCCCCATTTCGGAGGCTCGGTGGCCCGTGCGGCTACTGGCTTTTGTGCCAGACGCACAGGCTCGGGGAAAACCATCCTTAACATCCCGGCATTCAAATGTTTTGTCTGTGTATTCTTTCTTTCACAACACGCTGAATTGGGTAAGGCTGGACTTGGAGGGAAATGGGAGAAAACGCGCGGATTCGGAGAGCCTCCAGTTTGACGTTTTAGAGGTCTCAGATCCAGCTCTCCCTGTGGGTTTCCTTCCTGTGCCCCAGACCGCTTTCTTCTCCCCCAGGGCGCGCAGAATCCCCGGAGAAGATAAGAAAGGTCCCTGGAATGGAATGCAGGTGCCTGAGCCCAACATCATTCCTTCTGCTTATCTACCTCATTGTTTCTCTTAACGACAGCTGCTAAACTTCAACGGGCCCCTCGGGCTAGTTTTACAGGCATATTTCCTGGCTTGTAAACCCTACAATTTAGCCGAAAAAGAGACCTGTAATTACAATAAAATGTAGTAAGTGCGATAGGGCAGCATAAGGGCCTGAGCTGCTGCCTAGAAAAATAATTTCACCATCTTGGGAGATAAGAGAATGAAGATTGGGAGGGAGGCCTGGAAAACGCTCGGGGCAGAAAGAGCAGCTGGAGGGAAGGCTGGGAGGCCAGAGCTGAGAGCGGTGTGGTCCCGGGCCTCCGGGGTGAGAGGTCAAGCCGATAAGTCTTACTCCCTGGCAGCCTGCTTACTGGTGGGAGTTGGAAGGCAGGATG